AACCCTTTCATCGTCCTCATAATTTCATCTATTCTACGTGGAAGTTCATGATCTTTTTCTGTGATTTTATTTAATTTACGCGCATCGAGACAAATTCTCACCGAACCGTCTTTCTTCAGGGTAACCATGAGCGGCGAAACAAAAGGGGTGGCACCCCGCGAAATTACCCCCCACTCTTCCATCCGATCAATGGTCTGTTGCACTGCTTCCCGATGAGCTAGAGGTACCGGATATGGTTTAATAAAAAATCCACTGTCATCAGTCAGTCTAATATCGTGATAATATGATTTGGTTAATCCAGGTTTATTCGTAAACACGGAATCATATTTTTTTATCAGCTGAAAAAGAATCTGCTGTTCGTACTCAGAGAGACACCCTGTATGCGGAATTTGAATATTTGCATCCAAACTAGAAATGTTTTCATTTTTAAACAGGCTTTCTACGAATACTTTTTTTTCTGAAATGGTTCTTATATTCGGAGAATTAGGAGGACATGTCTCGTGAAAAACCGGTATATCTGGTAAGCACAATCGCTCATTTTGAATAGTTAAAAAACATTGTTCTTCATTCAGCTTCAACTCCGCGTTGATGGACCTTAAGAAATCAACACCTAGTATGACTGGATAAATTAATTTAGGGATCATTAAAAATTCGAAAGTAAAATTTTTTCCCAGAATGGAAAAAGTTAACTGTACCTGCAAGTTTACTTTTTGTTGAATGGCCTTGAAAGCGCCGGAAATTCTTACACCGGTACATGGAAAATGCGGTATAATATCATGGAAACTAGAAAGTTGACTCCAAATAGTATCTGATAAACAACAAACTTGACTGCCTGTGTCTATCAGCGCTGGAAAACTAAAATTGTGAATTTTTATAACAACTAGGGGCGATTTGTCGTTCAATAAGTTATGATCAAAATCACAATCATCTACAAACAAATCATCACGTGGATTATTATTATTTACAAAAGTATCGGCCTTTAGGAGCACTCCAGTTACATCAGGCCGTTTTGGTAACTGTCCTGCTCGTTTCCCGGCTCCTCGCTTTCTTCCACTGTTACCATTGAAACGTTTTTTGAAAAGGTTCCGGTTTTTGGACAAGTATTAGGTTTGTTTTGATTATAATTTGAATTTTTATTTTCGACTGCTGTAACAGAATAATTTGATCTACGGACTGGGCGGTTTATTTGGCCAGAATGACCTTGGCCATTATGATAGTATATGTCGGCTCGTCTTAAATGTTCCAACGCTTGAGCAAAATCATCGCATTGTAACAGTAAAGAAGATACCTGCGGTGGTAATGTTCTCGCTATCGTAGCGAGTAGCATTTTTTCTGGGTAGGGGGGAGTCAAATGCTTAGCTAATACCAAAAAACTATTGAAAAAATCAACAAATGATTCACCTTCTTTGTAAATTTTTGTTTCTAAATGGGTTCTGGCACGCCACTGTGCATGATCATCCCAGAAATTATTTAAAAATTGAGTTTTAAATTGTGAGTAATTTTCGAATTTGTCTAGGAATGCATCTGCCCATATTTTTGCTGAGTTCCTGAATGAGTCTGCTACTAAGAATTTGAAATGTTTATATTCAATGTTTTCAACATTAAATCCATCCTGGAGTTGATTCAGAAAATCCACTGGGTGTGTATAATTTGGATCAAAAATAGGATTTTTCCTGTTGGTAGCAGAAAAATTACAAACATTATTATTTGAAACCTCATTCTGATTTGACCTATTACTTGCAATATTGACATTATTTTGTAGTTGTTGAATTGTTTGGGAAACTAGCTGCGTTATGGCCTCAGGAGTTATCAACAGCATTTGTTGGGGATGATTCCTTTGGGTTGCATTCGTTCTGAGATTACTCGAAAAGTTTGGAGGTGGATTTGCAAAAACAGGTGGTGGAGCCGAATATCCAGGAGTTTCTCGAAAAAATTCCCACTGACCATTATTTTGATTTTGTGCACTTGAGGCCTGTGGTACACTTTGAAAAGGTTGCCTTTGATGCTCTTCGGGCACCAGGTTTTCACGTGAAGGGGGCGCCGAAGAAGAAATTGGAAAGTTCCTACCTTGTTCGTTGTCTTGAGCTGCATGTGATGGAGATCTTACGTGGTTTGGAACGTCAGGGCCGCCCCTCAAATCTGCTACCCTGGATGGAGGAATTCCGGTATTGCTGAGGACTCTCCTCCTCAGATTATAACTAGCCGATGATGATGGTGTATTATTTCCTTCCATAATTCCGAAAAATTGCCCCACGTTGGGCGCCAAGATGAAACGGAACGTCTCAGGGGTTGAGTGGGGTTGGAAAAATAATTCGGAATTATAGGCGGAGATTTGGCTTTTATTATTCAATGGCAGTTTTGGGGGAAATTGTTCAGTATCACCTTCGTCTGAAATAACATAACAATGTAGTACCCTATCGTACAGAATAAAATGATTTTCGGTGTTCATAGCAAAAAGGTAGTTGTGCCGAAAATCACACTTTCAACAATAACATTTGAAAATTTCACAGTTATCAAAAGTATTGAATATACAAAATACAATTATCACACAGATTTTCTTACCTGAGATAACATAACACCAGGTAAAAATCACAATAAATTGTATGAACAAGAATTAGCGATTTCAAATACCAACAGGGTTGCTACTTAATCAAATACCGAAAATGAACTGCCTGTATTCGAAAAGAATGAGTACCGCAGTGGTTTTTCTGAAACATAAAAACTAGACCCTAAATATCGCGAGATATCGTGCATACTTACTAGAAACTAGACTGATATTCATATACAGAGCTATAGGCAACTTATGTTACATTAAAGTGTGTTGCTGGTGATGAAACTATTCTGCTTCACTGCCAAGTTCAAAGAAAGAATGTTGTCAGCATTGCCGCGGAAGCTCTGAATATTTCAGAAAGGAGTATACTTATCTGATCAAGAATTCGCAAACAAACTCTGATGCTGTTATTGCTGTTTATGCAGAAACAGTTTCGAAAAAGGCCGAAGAAATAAAAAAAAAGGTAAATTCACAATTTTACAGGCTCTTAGAGTACATGTTACAATAAAATCGCTCCATAAGCGTTTCACTGAACAATGGCCTGATTTTCCTTGTTCTCCAAGATCCGTGAATACCTGGATTCGCAAAATTGGATTCAAATTCAAGAGGAGCAACAATAGGCAGTTTCTTGTAGAACAAACCATCAATTGCAGGCAAGCGTACGTCATTCCAAAAAAAAATATCATCTAGACATTTACGTATCAGAACATGGTCACAATATTTTGAGATTACCACCTCACCATTGCCAATATAATCCCATAGAAATGGTGTGGTCAGAGGCTAATAGTTATTTATGTATTAAGGGAATTATGAGGGCCTTAATTACCGATGGCAAAGTTTGCGTCCCGAGGGCCTCTGGCCCGAGGGACAGCAATTGCCAGAGGTTATTAAGGGTCTATAATTCCCGTGATACATAGATAATTTTATTTCTGACTGATTTCATTCATTAGATACCTTCCCGATTGGAAGTTAGACATGTTTTTCCGTATAGTTTCAATGTCATCAGAACGTCAGATGATGATCTTGACTACCGCGAATAGGAGATTCCTTATTGGCTACGTTATTGCGTGGTTGTTGCTATGCATTTCTTATTTAATTTTAGCTAGTGGGAATTATAGCATCTATAACATCCCAAGGGAGTTATGACCCTCATTATAGATATCGTAACTATGACGATATAAGCTTATAATGTCACTGTCAGAAATAAAAGGATTTATGACGCCGAAATCATCATAACTATATCATCCCCGAGAGATGTGATAATGGTCTGGTCAAAGGCGTTAGAAGCTGTATGTGTGGAGCATTGGAGAAATTATGTACAACATACAGAAAAAGTGATATTTTCGGCATGGAAGACGAAGAAATACATAGGTGCTTCCAATATTGAACCTGTCGTGATAACTCTCAATTCAGATGAGATCGATACGTCATCGGAGGAAGGCTCGGAGGAAGGGTCAATGCATTCAAATGAAAATATTTGTTTTTGAAAAATAGGAATTATTATTCGAAATATAATTCATGTGAGTTATACTACTTACTTATCACTTTCTTGCAGAAAGCCAAAGACAAATCATTTGTTCCAAAGAATTTCATGTTGATAATGGATACAGAGTGTTTTCCGAAACCTCTATAGTTGATATGGAGAGTAATACATCTTCACATATTATGTTCTTTATAATTTTTTCCTCAAATACCTCTCAACATCTTATTTCACGAAGTGTCACTGACTATCAGCTGAAAAAATTCTTTCAGATCTGTAAATAAATTTTCAAACACTTCGGGGCAAAGAAAAATCTCCACGCCCAGTCATCCATGCACAGATACTTTTATATCTCTATAATTTTTTTTGAAGTGAGGGGAGAAAACTAATAAATTTTTTTGATATTTTTTTTGCCAAAGCATCAATCGCTTGTAAATATATTTGCGAAAAACAGATGATGTTGAACAGCTTGAGAAATCTTATAGTTTTTATTCCAAAATCCGATAAGGTTGAAATCATATTTTGGATTTGGAATACTTAAGAATACACATGCGAATGGTAACCAGAAATTCTGAAGGCTTTTGTTTTGTGACTTGGTGTATTTCCACGACTTTACCTTATTGATGTATCGAACACAGTAAAACGAGGTGAAACATAGCAATTCTGTGTCATAGCCTTAGAAAAAAGTGAAACCGTACGGAAGCCTACAACTTTCAGAACAAAAAATGGCTCGTGGAAAAAGTCTTCACGCTGATTTTGATGAAACTAGGTATGTTTGTTAGTAGTAACAAGGGAATTTTGAGTAACTCATGAAAAACCGAATTTTCATCGAACTTTGAACACCCCGTGACTCGAAAACGGCGCAAGTTAGAACACACGTTCATACGAACTTTTTTTCATAAAATATCACCTGAAATTAATCACATCATCCAAGTTACACCCTGTACAATTAATTCCCTTCGATTCCAGACAAAATAAAGAACGCCTCGAACATCGTCCTGCTGCTCCTCACCCTGATGGCCGTCTATTCGCACTACATGGTGGCCGACAAACTGGAAAGAACGGCGCCGGCTCTGGTCTTCCTTTTCATGTTGAGCGGCCGCCTGGTCGTCTACTATCAGCTGCAGAGGAAAGAAGAAGAATCTGGCGAGCCCACAGCCAACGGCATCAAACAGGATTAGATAGTGATCGAAATACTGATAGAAACAGTGGATACGATTATCAAATAAATAACGCACCACCAAAAAGTAGGTACCTATCCAAAAGTTTGAGATACATTTTCGTCAAAATTGCTTCACCGATTCGGACGATCTTTATTTTGGATGACATCAGGTTATATCCTCTTTTTTATAAATACCGCCGGGTGTAGCAATTATAGCGTATTTGTTCTCATAATAATAATAATAATAATAATACCCTGTAGAGTACAAACTTACATCATGAAGTTTGAATGAAAATTACAATTTAACCTTCTTTCATCAATCCTTATTTTGGATTTACTGCATTATCTTTCCTATTACTCCGAAAGCACAACTTCATATCATATCCTGGTTTCATTGCATTATAAGCACGAACCCAGACAGCACAAAATATTCTATGCATATTCTGACAACATTCAAATATACTTATTTTAGAATATTCTTTTAGAATGTTCTCTGAATGATCATAGACTATTCTCATCGTGCAGCGAATATTCTATGGAGATTCAATTTTACATATTCTCAGAATATTCTGTTTGGATGTTCTAGGAATATTCTTTCGTATCGTATCGTATCAATGATCTCTGTCCATACATTCCCACGATACCCAATTCCCACGATGCCCAATTCCCACCATGCCCATCTTCCTTGAATTCCCACCATGCCCACTTCTCATACATTCCCACGATGGCCAATTTCTCCGATGCCCAATTCCCACCATGCCCACCTTCATCTTGGTGGTGGAGTCCAAGAAGGTGGGCATAGTGGGAATCGGGCATCATAGGAATTGGGCATCGTGAGAATGGTGGGAATCCAAGGAAGGTGGGCATGGTAGGAATTGGGCACAATTGTAACACTCTGTTTTGGCGGTAAACAATCTCCAGTTATTCTGTTACAATACATTGACAACGAACACAGTGTAATTGTACACCATATAATACCGAACGGTATTAATACTACATAATCTACTCAGGTGTATAATATTGTAGTTATTGGAGGCACAGCGTACAGACCTTTAGGCTTCTTAAGGCATGGTCGTACCACAAGGATCAATTCGCTCGAAATACTCGCAGAATCTCATGAAATCTCTGCACGCCATGAAAATGCTCACAAATGGGATTATTACTCACAAAACGGCAGCATTGACGTCGATCGAGTTGTGAGAAGTTATCTAGAGGAAGAAGGTATTGCTACCATGGGATTATGGCCAGCTCGGAATCTCTGGGACATTCTTGGGACAAGATTATGAGAAACGTAACTTGAATAATTTGAAAGAAGTACGGTATAGACACCGAACATAATGGGCTTATATCACAAAAAATTTGTATTCCATAATTCGATAGAACTCACCCAAACTAGCTCACCACCGCAAACCGTTTATCGCTGTGAGCTCCCTACGTTTTATAAAAAATTATTGAAATCCCCGATTTTTCGGACCTCTGAAAACGAGGCGATGATGTGACGTCAAAACCCTAATACTGAAACATGACTATTCCAGACAGAGATGAATGATACATGATTTCTGGCAGAGTGAATTAGCGCGAGATCACAGTTGAAAGAATTAATATATCAGTTGCCTCAGTCTCCGTCCGGCGTTTGGTATTTTCTTTTAACTATGGCGAGATGAGGTTTCTACGTCATAAGAGGGTCCGTTTTCAGATGGTACTATTATTTATGTCCAAAAATTGAACATTCCAGTAAATTTTTCGATCGAATTATGTCGTCAATCATTATTTATGTATGAAAGGATCATTATAAACATGGTTTGAGTTAAAAGTTCTACCAAGGTGTACACGCCCATTGTCTCTGTTTATGTTCGGTGGTATAGAGACTGATTCGAATTCGGGAAGACCTGGACCATTATGACATGAGTTATAGTATGGTGCCCCCCCCCTAGCTCTCCAACTAACGACGCCCATGACTTTGCATTTTGCTTCGTTTCTTAGTTGTTAAATTCGGATATTAATTCCTCATAAAATCATGTTACGCCATAAAATGGTATCAAGTCATATGAAAGATAATGGAGTGAATCCAAAAAAGGAATGTTGAGAAACGAAGAAGCTGTAGTAGTAGTGGTAGTTCCAATTATAACTTGATAGTGCAACTGTAGTAGTTGTCTATACCTATAGGGTACCATTACTAATTTGATAAGAAAAACACGCTATACAATTGCTATACCCGGTATGTATGAAAAGGAGATTTTTATGCAAATACAGTTTGCACACCAATGTTCAGAAGTAGATAACATGTCATTTAAAACGAAAAACGTCCAAATCTGACGATTATTTTCACGAAACTGTATCTTAAACTTTTGGTTAGGTAGTTTTTGGCGGTGCATCAATTTCTTGGGAAGTGTTACTTCAGTGCGGAAAGTGGTACATTTTTGGAATTCTCGCATGTGTGCACGGGGAAAAAGTGATACTTTCCGGCACGCTATTGTCGGGGGAGCGTGATGAGTTAATTGAGAGATGTGCCTAAATCTTTCGAACCGTTCCCACCACGCCGTATGTTGAGATTCGTGTTTTTATGCTTATTTTTCGCAATAAAATTGTGGAGGCTGAGTTAGGTCAGAGAGTTTCATTCTGGTCCACTAATAGCATGGCGGCAGCCCACTGTGATGATTTGTGTAGTGATTTAGGCTTTCAAGGACGTTTTTCCTTCCTCTCGAGAATCCGAGGGTCTCGTTAGTAATTAGAACTATTCTAAGTTTTTTTACGAGCGAATGCTCATGCGTCCATATAGTACACGTGATTCACTGTGACCAATCGGACAATGAAGTTTGGGAATGGTTCGAAAACTTTAGACTCTCGTCAATTGAGTGCAGAAACACACTTTTGCATGATTTTGAATATGATTCAAAACTTAGGGAATATTCCTTCCATAAAATTGAGAAAAAAATCTTCAAATATAAAATGTATGATAACGGCTCTTTTTCAAGATAAATAGCACTAAGTAGATTCTGAATTCTGATCAACTTCATATTGTTTTTTCAGAATGAACAATACAATCTTGATCTCTACAATTCTTTCTTATTCAGTTATTTTTTTTTTTCGTTCTCTGAGGAAGATCATGTTTTTCATTTCCTCAGTTCCAATCCTCTTTTCTAAAGAAAAAAACAAGATAGGAGAAAAAACAAGAAATAAAATAGGTATATTCCGATTGCTTCTGTTAAAGAACAGCAATATGTTAAATGGAGTTTGATGAGATTTTAAGCAAAAACTGACAAACTTTCCTCATAGGCAGGTCTGTGCTGAGTAAACTCCAAGATACCAACCTCATTAAGTTTTCAACTCATTTACAACCGTCAAAGTCGTTTAGTGAACATCCGATATCAAAAACAAACCGCTTCTGGATACCGGAATATATATATATATACTTTTTGAATAATTTTCATCACGAAAGGATTTTGCCATAGACCTTTGTCAGCTAGAATTTTGATTACTTCGAATAGGATCAGAAACTGCCGAAATACTATAATAATAATAATGATACAATGATCGAAAGAAGAAAAAATAGTAATTTTTCCCACTAGTAAAGAAAGAAATAGTTTTTTGATGTCACAACCAAACATTTTGTGGAATGAAGAAGTATACTTTCGATTAAAACACTCACTTTATAGTTTTCCTGAGATGAATCATAATATAACAGTATACGAAAATATCAGTCTCTTCAATGTCTACTGTTTATTTCGAGAGTCAAATAGTCAAATAACGCGCGAACCCACAATAGTATACAGGGTGTTTCGGACTTGTGTTGACAAAAGCCTAGGAGAGATATCTCTCAACAAAATATGGAACATTATGCTTCGTTTCCGATAAATAGAGTGTCCAAGTTTGAAAAAATGGAATTTCAACTAATGCCTTGAAAAAATATTTCACAGAAAATTTAAAGATCGTATACATTTTAGAGAGAGTATTGAATTTTATATCTTCTTCATTTCCATAATTTTTTTTCTTACGGAATTCAAAGAATGCCGAGGCATGGTATTGTCAGTTTTTCTCGAAAACGAAGCAAGTTATAAAAAAAATAGCAGGAGGTAAAAATGTTGTATTTTAAGTGGGTTTATCGGAATATTCTAAAAGAACCCGAAAAAAACACAGTGAAAAACCGAGCAAGTCGATGGGTACTCCCTTGGAAATTCTGGAAAAAATCTAATTGGTCCAGTACATATCTGATGATTCTATAGATGAAGCATAAACATTTCATTCTTCATGATATTAATAAAAAACTCATTTTTATTAAACTTGGACACCCTGTATCTCGGAAACGAAACATTTTCGGACTTATGTTCATGTAAACTTTTTTCATATTTTGTTGAGAAGAATCTGCCCTAGACTTTTGCATCACCACAATTCTCAAACACCCTGTATTGTTTGACGAGCACGAAATGATAGAAATTTCCCGCGAGAATGAAGTTTGCAGCATGAGCCGTAGGCTCGGAGGATGGGTGTTCGTTTTCGCGTTTTCATTAATGAGTTCTATGGAAAAAAACCGAGGGAAAAACCAATCTACTGAGGTATTTTAATATGACATTCTTGAAGATTGAAATTTCAAGAATTACATTCCCGAACATTGAAATCGAACTGAGAATGTATTTGGTTTTGATAACATCGAATTGCACTGGAGAACGCTCATTTTCTAAAATGAAAGTTATAAAAAATAGTCTTAAAAACTTCGTTGTGACAAAACTTTCTTTCAGATAATTCTTGTTTTTGACAATATTCCTCTTGGGCGTTTCTTAGGTACGCCTAAAAATTACAGGAGCTATTGCTGACGTCAAAATGAGAAGAAAAGTTCGTAAACATTTTTTTCTACATTCATGCAAAAAACAGAACTTTATTGAACTATATTTAGTGGAAGAAGAAGTTCTTTATTGCACTTAGTGCAATAAAGTTTTTATTGCACTCACCTGTCATTCTACTTCAACGTGCTGTCATCATGACAAACATTTTCTATAATGCAACTGTGGTTATAGAAACGTC